TATATATAAGACAAACTAAGCCCACCCCAGTTGTTTCAGTGCCAAGTTTCCTTGTCCCAGACAAGCCTTGCACTCACTGTTCTGGCAGACCGGACCAAACCATCCTTTCTGGCAGCTGGACAAGCACGTCCCGTCATCCTGACATTCAAACTCAAAGGAACATCGACACTTGTGTTCACACTTGAGTCCGAACCATCCAGAAGGGCAATTTCTCTCTGTGGTCAAATCCAGAAGAAAACAATAATAATTAATTTAACTGCTAAATTTACTTTGCGGACGCCATACTGAACGCATAAACAGAGAAATGTAAACAGCCTTAAAGGTAAATACATTTGTTTGTATGTTGTTATCAATATATCATGGAAAAAAATTGAAATTTTAAACACTTATTCGGAATATGCTCCCTTGATTTTGACATTTCAAAGAGCATCTTTAACAATGATATTCATCGCTTCGGTCTTTGTGAGTTTTGCATATTTTGAGGAGAGTCTCATAAATTAAAACAATTTTATGTGAATGACAGAACAAAAAGTTATTTTTTTGGGCTCTAAGTAAAATTTGTCATAATAGTTATGAACGAACCCTCTTTCCATGTAATTTACTGTTGTTTTTGGATGTGTCATTAATTTTAAACCCAACTAAAGGACGTATTAGACTTTGCATACATTCTGATATTTTCATTTTGAGCATACGTGTGGATTTTAATTAGCATTTTACTTTTGTAGTAATGGTTCTGAACGAACAACTAATTGTCCGTTTAATATATTTTGACGGCTTTTCAAAGTTAATAAGCTTTAAAAACATGTAAGCTGGTACATATTATGAGGAGAGTTTATTTAATAAAGCATTTTAAAGTGAAGAACAAATCAAAATGTATTAATTTTTAGGTCAAAACTGAAGTTTGTCATAATTGTTATGAACGAACCATTAAAGGTATTCTAAGGGTTTTTCCATTGAATAAACTTTAAATTCTTCCTATACGCATTTTTTAAGAGAGTCTCATAAATGAAAACCTTTTTATGTAAAACACAGAAAAATAAGCTAATTTTTTGGGCCCAAAGTAGAATTTGTCATAAAAGTTATGAACGAAACAGTGTGTCATAATGGTTATGAACGAACTTAAAATGTATTCATAACATGACCTAAGACCATCTTGCGTTGAAAAATAATTGTTAAGTGGTCTTTCATTTATCACTTTACTATACAATCGGACCATAGTGTTATTTTTATAGAACAATCTAGTCAATGGACCTTGACATAATTGATAGTTTTTTGGTCACTTACTGTTCGTTCATAATTATTATGACACAAAACAGCAATTTAATCAAAAGATAAAAAATGTTTTTATATTCTGTCAATTCTATGTATTTTTGGAAGTTGTTTGCTATGTCTCAAATATAACCTTAGCCTAGCTGAAAAAAGGAACATTTGATTATTCATATATTTGTGTCATCGTTGTTATGAATGAACTTTTTTGGGCCGAGTTCTAAATGCATACAGATCAATAAGGCAAGGCTTTTACTCGTACTCACTATCACTCATGTATGTAGAACAAAGTTTAATTCGTTCAATTGTTCCTCTCAAAATAATCCTCTTGATGGGTTTGGAGATATCCAGACAGTCAAAGTCCATGGTGTAAAATTTGCTGGACCCTTGCACGACTCGCCTCTTAACAAAGTTAGTGCAGGGAACAACTGAACCGTCTGTGTTCTCCCAGTCTATTGTTAGACTCTGGAGAGTGTCTGGGGATGATCAACAACACAGAAAAAGAATACTTGTATGTATATATATATATATATATATATATATATCTATATCTATATCTATATATATCTATATCTATATATATCAAGAGAAGCAATATGAAACTCTCAACGCAAGTGAAGGCAAGAAAGAAAAAAAAGACAGAAAGAAAGAAAGAAAGATAGAAAGAAGAAGAAGAAGAAGAAGAAGAAGAAGAAGAAGAAGAAGAAGAAGAAGAAGAAGAAGAAGAAGAAGAAGAAGAAGAAGAAGAAGAAGAAGAAGAAGAAGAAGAAGAAGAAGAAGAAGAAGAAGAAGAAGCAGAAGAAGAAGAAGAAGAAGAAGAAGAAGAAGAAGAAGAAGAAGAAGAAGAAGAAAAAGAAGAAGAAGAAAAAGAAGAAGAAGAACAACATATGGTCGCTTTTAAGCACAAGGCGGCTATCCCGAAAAATGCTGTTTTGAGAAAATCGAAGTTAAAGTTTATGCCCCCTTTTCAATTTCTTTAAAAATAAAACTAGGAGCGTTTTCTCTATAACCAAACAAATATACACATCGACAAAACCAAACTTCTCCTATAGGCAGGACAATGCCCACTTTCGGTATAGGTCAAGATTTCTGGAAACCCCCGAAATCTGGGTCAGCCCGCTTGTCCTTAAAATCGACCATATAGTACCCATAGCAGGTGAGGGGGTGGGGGCAGAAAGTGGAAATGAAAGCAGACAACAGAACATTGCTAGAGAACAGGAAAGGAGGTGAAAGGAGTGGGCTCTCATGGCCTAGAGGTTAAGGTGTTGGTCTCTCATTCAAAGGTCCCGGGTTCGAATCCGGGTAGCGAACGTCAAGACTAGTTTATCATTGTAATAATGGGCAGTTGCCGAGGGTAAAAAAAGACTGACGCATTTGTATCTGCGACGTTCAACGCCCGGATCGCTAGTGCGCCCCCCTCCCTCCCCGACACACACACACACACAGTCACATGTGTGCAGGCCGCCCATCCGACTCCGACACGCGCCAGAGTAGACACGTGCGCGAGCCAACAACGCATGTGTTGGTATGGAAAAAAAAAGGCCGCTGATTGGTCGCATGCAATCGGCTAAGTGAATAATGGTTCACGATGCAGTTTCAGTGGATGGTTTCCGGGAATAGATAAAGTTCGTTCTGGGAGAAAAATGAGCGAAGCCACGTCTGCGGGGCAGTTCACCCTGGAAGCGACCTCGTTGAATCCGAGCTCGCAGATTTAAGTGCTCGTTGAATCCGGGTTATTTTTAATGATTTTAAAGAAGAAAAAATACGGGGAATCTATCTCATCTCGTTGAATCCGAGTTCTCGTTGAATCCGAGCTCGTTAAATCCGAATTCCACTGTAGGTGGTGAATAAAACACCTAACAGAACCATGCGTGGCTTAACATTCAATAGGCAATAAAGATTAGAGCTATTCTGACGATATTACTTACAGTAATAAGATATTATTACTTACAGTAATAAGAGACAGGTTGGATGATAAATGTTTCTGAGGAAATCATTCAAAATAATATGTATTTGTACTGCAGACTTTTCCTTCCTTTGTAAGAAACAGAGAGTCATTAGAAGCCGCCTGCGCTTTGTGTGCAAAAGTTGAATTGGCACCGGGCAGAAGGGGGGGGGGGGCGACTTATTTAAACATTGCGAGCCGGCATGATAAACCAAGGTGAAGGAACCAGTCTCTTACCATCATCCATCAAACTTCTTCCATCTCAACCATCTAATTATAAGTATTCATATGACCTTAGAGCATGCATCAGAATACCATTGCGTTACAAACAAAATTCTGAGAACGTATTTAGCTTAACAATATTATTGTTTATATTACTGTTCTTTTATATCATGCATGTGAATGTGAGCATGTTTGTGAGTGCAAGCATACTGCGTGTGTGTGCATGTTTGTGTGTATGTGTGTGAGTGTGTGTGTGTGTGTGTGTGTGTGTGTGTGTGTGTGTGTGTGTGTGTGTGCGCGCGCGTTGAAACACCAAACCAGTGAACCAGGATCTTGACAATAGATGTACCTTATCGTATCTTGTCTTATCTTTTCTATCTTATCTGTAGTGCGATATCCGCGTGACGGAGATTTATCGCATTTTAGTTTACTCAATTAAGGTGGAAACATATGATTAAGTTATGACAAATTGATACAAACTGCTGTGCAAAGCATAGGTGACATTGATTCACATGTTGAAGAGATATTTGAGGATAATTTGCGGCATGAATCTTCGACCGCACTATAGTTTGGGTTTGCTCGAGACTGAATGAATCAGCAATCAATTGCTCGTCCACTAATCAGCAGACAAAAAGTGGCTGGCTCCTCCGGTCTTGTCCAGTGAAACAACCACCCCTGAATATAACGTCATTTGATCCAGCAGCATCTAGAAGCTGCCTTAAGCCAACATCGGTCTCTGAAAGATGCAGTCCCAACACATCAAACTAAGCTAATAGCACAGTGCTGGAAAGATAACAGCAACATCATTTAGCAGTAACAGTAGCATCAACAAGAATGACAGCAACAACAACAATAAGAGCAAGAACAACCACAACTACAACATAAAAAATAACAACAACAAGAGCAATATGCAAAATCACCACCAACAGCAGCAATCACAAAATCATTACCAAATAGCACCTGTATCTACAATGCAATCAGAAAAATCAAATCTTCATCTACTGTGACAAAGACTGTGTGCCATATTTTTTGTACCCGGAATAGGACATTGACCTAGTGACCCATTCCTGCGTAGTGTTCCAATAATGAATCCTGCCGTTTTACCTTTACTGTGAGAGCAATACAATACAATGTTGGGATAAAAATTTCCAGTTCTGAATAATAGTATATTATCATTATTGTACCTGCTTTGAAACGAACGATTCAGTTTTCCAGAGTTCTGCCCCCCCCTCCCTTTTTTTATACTAAGATGGCGGCCTCAAATGAAACACCCTGGCCAGCCCCAAAAAACCCAGCCTCATAAAAGTTATAATAATTTTTCGTAAAAATAAAATTTTGCTTCTCTTTATGATTATAGCGATAGAATATCTTCTATTTAAGGCGGTTAAAGTCTTGCTCATGGCTATTTATAAAAATGTCCGTATTTTTTTTATCTCTGAAAGTAAGATCCAATAGTGGAACGCTGTCCACGAGAGGGTGCGTGTTTTTTCCCGGGGTGAGATTTGACCTGTGTCTTGCTATGGCTGTTATTTTTAATACTATCTGGGTTTTCTATCTGTTGTAATGTAACTAAGACATGTGGATGGTTTTACGCTCGCTTTTCTGTAGTCTAATCATACATGAGCTTAAGAAATTGAATTTGGACCAGCTGTGTCTTGGACAACTACCACGCCTATTATAGTAGGCCTACTGAAAAGTTCAGGACCACCTTGATAGACAGTCCTAATTTTTTTTTAATATCCGAAAAAAAAGACAGCAAGGAATGTTTCAAAATGTTTTAATCTGAAAGTGTTAATAGGTTACCAAGGCGTACTGCAAAGCGTCCTACAGGACCAAAAGCCATCACGTGCAGCACGGAAATCCTCGGGGAATTTTAGCCAAACTTACTGTTTTTTTAATCGACTTGTGTGCGACGCCAAGGACTTTCCTCAGTTAAAATTTCTGGTGCACGTCATAAACGGACGTACGGTCAACGAACTGTGCTCACTTTGGTGGCAATATAAGCCACCGTTTGAGCAAAATCCAGTATCGCATCAACATACCATCAAGACGGAAGCTGAGAGACTTTGATCGTGCCAGAGCTATGTCATGGCTGGGGGATGGAGTTAGCGCCCGAGAAGTTGACAGAAGGCTCGCAGTGTCACACTCTGTCATTGTCCGCCTGAGGCAGCACCATCACGCCACTGGATCAGTCCAAAAACGCCCTCGTGCAGGTCGACCCAAGAATACAACTCAGAGTGTGCAAGTGGTCCCTTACGTTTGTTGAAGTCTGTAGCATATCTCTTTAGGCATTGTTTCTTTACAAGGAATGTGTTTTACAAGTTTTTGTTTAATCAGTTTCAAATGAAAGAACAAAATCATATTTTGAAGAAGAAGAAGAAGAAAAAGAAGAAGAAGAAGAAGAAGAAGAAGAAGAAGAAGAAGAAGAAGAAGAAGAA